TATATATTGTAAAAATATGCTTCAGTTCAAGTTAAAAAACCATGCTGCTCCTTTTCCTCTCAGAAAAAATAATAAAACCAATGAGAAAAAGAAATGTAACTGTCATATTCAAGGGATCCATAACTCATACCCACAACAAATACTGTGGGTCTACCAAATGCAGTAAAGGCCAAGCAGGAATGAAGGAAGACACCAATAGATTTTCTGTTGCTAAAACACTGTCAGAGCAAGAGTCCTTCTAAGGTGGTATGAGACTCTTGAAAAGAAAAGAAAAACAGAACAAAACCCTTCTTTGATATAATGATAGGATTTGTGGGTATCAATGAAAGCAACCCTAGAACTGAATGGTACCAAAGAATAGCAAGGAAGAGGGGGGGTGAGTAACAGTCAGAGAAACACATTTGCTATAGATAGTCTTCAGAGGAGAAGGTAAAACAATTCATTAGGAACAAAACTGAAGCTATAAATAAATAAGATAAATTAAGGCTAACAGAATTCAGTCCCATACTCAACCAACCCTATGACATATCACATCATTGTGAACTGTACCGGATTTCTACTAGCCTTCAGAAAATCCTGGCTGCTCCTCCAAAATGAACCTTCTATGAAAACCTAGTCTAAGATGTACTGCTTTATCATGGAATTAGAAACATTCAAAAGGCTGAGGTCATAGCTGAGTGGCAGAGAACTTGCCTAGCAAGGGCAAGGCTCTGGATTCATCCTCAGCATAAAAAAGTAAGGAAGGCTGGCCGTGGTGGTGCATGCCTTTAGTCCCAGCACTCAGGAGGCAGAGGCAGGTGGATCTCTGTGACTTCAAGGCCAGCCTGGTCTACATAGTGAGTTCCAGGTCAGCTGGGACTACCGAGAGACCCTGTCTCAAAAAGACAAAAAAATAAAATAAAGTAAAAGGTAAGGAAGGGGGGAGAGGAGAGGGGAACAATCCAGGATCTATTCAACAACGCTATATGAAAAGAGTAAGACACACAAATGGCAGATTAATGCTCACTGAAATACAAATAAATAAATAAATAAATAAATAAATAAATAAATATTGCCATACACTGAAAAGGAACCACTAGACTCTTTAAATAAAAAGCAACAGAAGAAAATTTTGAACATGAAGTTTATCAATTTCATACAGGAACAAATCTTAAATATTAATATCATGGTTATGAAATAAAAAATGAATATTTAAAAATCAATTCACAAATATTACTAACAAATACAGGAAAAAAGAGATGATTTAAACAAGATAAAATTGTACACATAGCCGGGTGTGGTGGCGCACGCCTTTAATCCCAGCACTCAGGAGGCAGAGGCAGGCGTATCTCTGTGAGTTCAAGGCCAGCCTTGTCTCCATAGTGAATCCAGGCCAGCTTAGGGATACAGGGAGACCCTGTCTCAAAAAGACCAAAAAAAAAAAAAAAAAATGTATACATGCTGATTTACTTATCAATGAATCAAAAATCAATGAATCAATGAATCAATGAATCAGGCTTTTGGCCTGAAAGTTTAAATTACAATGTCAAAGGCATCTTCTCTTCTCAAAAAAATTTGCATTTTTTTCTGGAGGCAGAGGCAGGCTGATCTCTGTGAGTTCAAGGCCAGCCTGGTCTACATAATGAGTTCCAGGTGAGCTGGGGCTACAGGGAGACCCTGTCTCAGAAAGACCAAAAGAATTTTTACATTTTTTGTGTCTGTCTGTGTTGCACGTGTGGAGATCAGAGGACCAGGAATCACATCAGTTCTTTCCCTCTACTATGTGGGTCCCAGGGACTGAACTCAGGTCATCAGTCTTGATGGTAAGTACTTTTAACCACTGAAACATCTCATCAGCCTCCAACTTCAAAGTATCTTCTGATACCAGACGGTAGATGTGAAGTAGAGATGAGAGAAGAGAAATAAAACAATTACAGTATATATTCTGTGTCATTGTATGTTGGAAGTATGTAATTTGCTTTTAGATTTTACAGAGTATTACAGTTAAGAGACTGCCTTGTGGGGTTGGAGATATGACTCACTGGTTAAGAGCACTGGCTGCTCTTCCAGAGGAACCAGGTTCAGTTCCCAACATGGAACCTAGCAACTAGCTGTAACTCCAGTTCTAGAGGATCTGATGCACTCTTCTGGCATTCATAGGTATTGCACCCCTGTAGCATGCTTACATACATGCAGGCAAAACACTCATACACATAAAAAATAAAATAGGTTGGGTGTGGTGGCACATGTTTTTAATCCCAACACTTGGGAGGCAGAAGCAGTCATATCTCTGTGAGTTTGAGGCCTTCCTGGTATACATAATGAGTTCCAGGCCAGCTGGGGCTACATAGTGAGACCCTGCGGGGCTGGAGAGATGGCTCAGCGGTTAAGAACACTGGTTGTTCTTGCAGAAGACCCAGGTTTGAATCCCAGCACCCACATGGTGGCTACGAACTGTCCTTAGCTACAGTTCTGGGGGAATCCAAAGCCCTCTTCTGACCTCCGTGGCACTGCACAACACAGGTGCACTCACATACATGCAGGCAATACACCCATACACATAAAATAAGTATTTTTTAAAAAAAAGAAAGTATACAGAAGCTGAGCATGGTGGTGCCAGCACTCAGGAGGCAGAGGCAGGTGGATCTCTGTGAGGTCAAGACCAGCCTGGTCTACATAGTGAGTAGAGCAGACAGTACACAGGCCAACTGTGGTTACAGGGAGACCTTGTCTCAACCCTCACCCCAAAAGTATACAGTAAGAAGACCAAATGCTTCAGTGATCCTCCAGTCTCTACCCCTCTCAGAGCTGTGGTACAGGCATTTGTGAGGATACTCAGCTTGCTATATGAGTGCTGGGACCCAAATTCTGGTCCTCATTAATGTGCAGCAATTTTCCAACATTTTAGTTCTTGACATGAACACTAGTTCCATAAATGTTTGCTTTGCAATAATTCATTAAACAACAAGTACTGTTTTGTATCTGTAAGTGGGTTATATTTCATAGTTTAAAAAAATACTCCAGCCAGGCATGGTGTCGCACGCCTTTAATCCCAGCACTCAGGAGGCAGAGGCAGGTGGATCTCTGTGAGTTCAAGGCCAGCCTAGTCTATACAGTGAGTTCCAGGACAGCTAGGGCTACAGGAAGACCCTGTCTCAAAAAGACCAAAAAAAAAAAAAATACTCCAAAGTAACAACTCAGTAGCTGAGATAAGAGGCATATTGAGGAAGAAAAAAAATGGAGGGAAGGGAGGAAAAGAAGGAAAGGGAGGAAAAAAGGAAGGAAAATTTAATACATATTAATTGATGGATCCAAAGCCCCCAGAATAATGGATTTAAACTAAAATCTCCCATGCCTGAGAAAAACTGTACAAGGAAGTAAAAATGAAAAATAATTCTGAATGCTAAGAACAAGCTGAGCTGACCTTTTTCATGCTCCTCTGCCCAAGTTGGAAATCATCCCAGAAATTTCCCCTACCTCTGCTTGGCACATAGCCGCCGCTTGTCTTTAAAAGAAACCTGTAAACTGGGCTCTGGACTTCTGTCCTCCGAGTGAGGTGGGAGTCCCCCATTTCCTCAGATCAGCAGGAGGTAAGAATATTTGTTTTGTGGTTTGTCTTGGTCTTAATGTCTGTCAGTCATTTTCTGCTCTGGGAATGTTCCGTCTGAACAGTTGTGCCTGTACAGGACCTGTAAGTCTGTATTCTGGGAACCAGCGGGAGTGGCAGACGTGCCCAGAGACCCCAGGTTCCGCCACTCTGACCTTAGTGGCCAGAGTGATCTGAAGTGAGGAGGACAGCGTAGTTTTCCTCACCTCGGGAGAAGGGAGATTGGCTTGGCTACTCCCCTCCCGATCTGTACTTTCAGTTTTTGGGTTAAGAAGCGTGCAGTAAGGATTTTGTTTTGTCTTGTCTGTATTTGTGCTTGGGGATCCTAAAAGTAAAAATAATAAATGCAGTGTGCGTTTGAGTGAAAGGACCGGTCCACATGAATGTAATTTAGTGTGATATGCATGTATTTGAAGGTTACATTATTATCTTAAAGGGGAAGATCTGGTTTTTCTAGATTCTCCATTTTAAGCTTTCCTCCACTCTTTTAACTTTTCCTTCTATTTTCGGCTCAAGTCTTCGCGTGGGACCATTAAAGGCGAAGGAGCAATTGAGGTTTTCTGGTCAGGGCCACTCCCTGATGCAAGCCAAAGGCTCTTAGCCCTCTTATGGACCCCAACTGCCCACACGGGTGGAGACAAGACAGCCTTCCTGTACTTCCTTCTCCTCTCTTCAGCCACTGAAAAAGCCCCGCGGGCACGGGTCGAGCAACTAAAAGCCACAGGGCACTCACCACTAAAAGACTCCCGTGGAAGGATAAGGGGGTCCCAGGCATGAATCCCAGATAAATTCACGTCCCCTGCAGAAGAAAAACTGGGCAACGATAGGTACTTGTTCATAAGCACATTCACAGGTCACTATTGTTTGGAGTGGCATCTTCATCTTTTTCTCTTTCTCTCTCTGTCTCTCTCTCTCTCTCTCTGTCTCCCCGCCCCTATAAATACATGGTAACATGGTAGCTTGGACCTTTCACAAGGAATCAAGTGTTTTGATGAGAAGAACAGATACATTCTGATGTTTCAGGTCTGAAAATTAGACTGGAATGGTCTGTTGCTAAATGAGAAGGACAGCAACTTAGTAAGGAAGCACTGGGTGCTGATGCTTAGTCTACAGCAAACCTACTTAAGTAAGCACCATGTGCCAATGCTCACAGTCTAGGGCAACTGAGCTCATGTGTCTTCCCTGGAGTTTTCCTGATTCTTGTGACTCACCAGAGACCACATCCCCCCAACAGGCTGGTCACCTTGAGGCCTGCCCCGCCTTCTCACACCCCTCCCCACACTCATGCACACACTTATGCATACACTACACACACCACACTGTACACACTGCACCTACATATACTCCACACACCAGCCCAT